CCTTGGAGACTTCTACCTTTGTAGCTGTTAGCCGAACTCTGAGCTCTGCGTAGTGTACTCTTGTGGTCTGGTACGCATCCCTCACAGTATATTGTTACTCACAAGTTCACTTGGAGTAACGAAGTCACCTCAAAAAGAAGAACTATCATCATTATCCCCTATTACAATGACTACCCGAAGGGATAATTATTTTATTGATACCTCGGCCGTAACTGAGGAGGCCGGAGGGGAAGATTCTATGGTAATATCGAGGGCTGCTAGCACAGATCCTCTACTTACGGGAGGACCCTCTACACAAACTAGGCAATCGAGTAAACGCTCTGCTCAAGCCCAGTTCGTGAGGAATATGCAGGAGTTTTTAGATACCCATGAGGCACAAATGAGGTATCTTGGTTCAGCTGGACAGGCCATTTGGCAGCAGCTACAAAACCTCCAGGAACAAGTTCAAGGAAGTGGGCAAATTCTGGACAAGAAAGCACGGCAAGAAGCCATTGCCCAAAAACAACATCTCGAATCGCTCTTCGAGCTCGTCTCCCATGTCCAACAAGTACACGAAGCAACACGAGCCGCCGACCACGAGGTTCTGGATCGTAACCATCGGATTACACAGAACCAACTGTTGGAAGCGGAGCGACAACTGAGGATGGTACGAGAAGAGCGGGAGCAGGAAAAAGGGGAACAACGGGCTATGTTTGCGCAATTCAAGCAGTCCGACGAGATAAGGAACCAACGGATAGCTGAGATGGAGGAACTACTGCGACAACATCTGTCAGTAGCCCCTTCCGTGGCTAGTGCTCCCTTAGACCCTAATGCACCCCGAACTGTTCCTGTTGGCAATGGCAAGAACCCCCAAAATGCTGGCCCCCAAACATCAGGGAACGGCAAGCAACCAGAAGAAGCTAGTCCAGTTGGAGGAAATGGAGGCAGACAACCGGAGGACGCCGGCCCAGTACAGGGAAATAGTGGCAGGCGACCGGTAGAAGCTGCTCCAGTGGGAGGGAATGGTGGAAATCAACCTCCCCAGAACCCACCGAGAGGAAACCTTGGGGGAGACCCAGAACCTTCCGACGACGATGACGACGATAACAGCGAATGGTCGCACGGTCGGAAGAATTGGAGAAGGAACCGAGGCGGGAACCGGAATTCGGCGCCGCCCGAAGACGAGGATATGGTAGATTCGCTCGCCAAAATACCCTTCGAGTTCGAGAATGCCCGGAAGCATAACCTGCGGCATTGGCTCATGGAGTGCGAGATCTACTTCGAGCAGAAGCCAAAGAAGTTCCGAACGGACAGGAACAAGGTCCTGTTCGCTAGGACATATACGTGTGGGTTGGCAAAGGAATGGTTCATGGAATACATCGAGATCAAAATGTTGGGCCCGGCCGGTGCAGACTACGCCACTTGGGCTCGGTTCCGTCAGGAAGTCAGGAAACGTTTCCTAAGCACTCAGGAGGCTATGGAAAACGCGATGAAGATGTAGCAGTTTAAGTACTCTGCTAACATCGGGGACTACCTGACAAGGATGGAGATCATGAACCAGCATGCTCAGATGAAAGGGGCATCCTACCACGCCGCCCTGCTCCAAGGGCTACCAAATGAAATTCGAGAGCGCCACTCTCGCTTCGATCCAACCGATGACGACTCCGAGTACATTCAACAGTTGGAACGAGCCGGCAAGGCTCACGAGGCTTATCAAGAGCAGATGAAGATGTTGGGGAAAGCGGAGTCGAGAGGAAGGGAGTCGAATAATGGTGGGAACTCGCGGCAGAAGGAAAAGGGGTTTAAGATCAAGGGGAGGGCTCAGACTGAGGAGAAGGAAAAAGGGCAAGATAAGAAGAGCACCAGCAAGAACAAGTCGGGGAATAAGCCAATATACCACGACTACGACGAAGCCATCAAGGGAGTTCCACAGCCGGTCCGAGACCAGCGAAAGACCGATGGTGTCTGCGTGCGATGTGGCCGAAAGGGTTATCTTTGGAAATGGTGTCGTTCAGATGCTAACAGTAGTGCATCTATCTCCTCTTTCTCCCGTAAGCATACCCGCGATGACGATGGCGACCACGATATGGAACCACCGGAACCCCAACCTCAGAGAAAGCGAATGAGGCACCGTCCTAGAAAGCCGGCTGCTACGGCTGCTGCGGAGTACACCAGTGGGCAAGCGTTTGTACAAGAACGCGGATCGGAATCTGAGATGGATTTCGATATGGATTTTTAGAAGGGGACTCTGATGAGTCAGGTCAGGGGTATCCCCAGATTGCTATGTTATCACTGACGGAAAACAACAAAAAAAATATGAAAAGAAAAAGGCAGGAAGGGAGAGCGTCCCAACCGGAGAAAAAACAGAAAATATTGGAGGAACCCATTCACGGTCCTCGACCTATCGTTAATCAGTTCCTTTGTTTTGCGGAAAAATGTTTACCTTGTAAGGTGTTGTTGGATACTGGAGCGACTGGTCCTGTTTTGTCTGCCGTTTTTGTTGATAGTTTTGAGGTCCCGAAGGTGAAACGAGATGTCCCGGCCCGGGTATTTGGATCTACGGGAGAAGTTCTGAAGGGCACGGGACACGCCTTTACACAACCATTAATTATAATGTCAAGGGGGCATCAGACACAGTTATCATTCGAGATCGCCCCTCTCCCATTTGGCATCGATGCAATATTACCGAACTGGTGGTTGAAAGAACACAAGCTGGTACTAGGGGCAAATGGGGAAGTTTCCTACGATGGTGAGAACTGCAAGAGTCGCTGCTTCACTGACAAGGAACCTCAAATAGAGATGGACGAGGGTGTACTGGACGATCCGGAGGCCCAATTCATCGGTAACATCTGTCTATTGGAAGATGAATCGGTCAACCTCCGCGAAACTCTTCCCTCTTGGCTCCATAAGTTCCTTAAAGTCTTTCTACCATCGGAGGCAGACAAGTTACCACCGCATCGATCTTACGACCATGCGATAGATCTCGAACCAGGAAAGCAGCCCCCATGGGGACCCATCTACTCCCTATCCGAAGTCGAACTGAAGGTGCTTCGAGAGTACCTGGACAGAATGTTGCGATTGGGAAAGATTAGGCCGAGCAAATCCCCAGCAGGAGCCCCAATCCTATTTGTGAAGAAGAAGGACGGTAGTCTGCGACTTTGCGTTGACTACCGTGGACTTAACCGCGTATCTATCAAGAACAGGTATCCTCTACCGCTTATGGACGAGCTACGAGATCGAGTAGCAGGCGCGGTTATCTTCTCGAAGATTGACCTCAAGGAAGGTTACAACCTCATCAGGATCAAAGACGGCGACGAGTGGAAGACAGCATTCCGTACGTGGTATGGACAGTTTGAGTACCTCGTCATGCCTTTTGGGCTGGCAAACGCGCCGGCGACCTTCCAGAACATGATGAATGATGCGCTGAGGGAATTCTTGGATCAAGGTGTAGTAGTATACCTTGATGATATCCTAATATATAGCAAGTCTCGAGAGGAGCACAGAGAGTTGGTCGGCAAAGTCCTTAGTAGGCTACAAGAATACAATCTAGTCGCCAACCCGAAGAAATCGTTCTTCGATCTCACCGAAATCGAGTTTCTCGGATATATCCTTGCCCCAGCAGGCGTCACCATGGCACTGGATAAGGTCATGTCTGTTACGAATTGGCAAGCCCCGTGCAGCGTTAAGGAAGTACAGATCTTCATGGGCTTTGCCAACTTCTACAGAAGGTTTATCCACAATTTCTCCAGGGTCTGTAAACCCATTACCGATTGTCTCAGGGGTGATGCTAAGAACTTTGTCTGGTCTATGACGGCCCAAGTAGCCTTCGAAAAACTCAAAACCCTGTTTACGTCTGCGCCGATCTTGGTACACTTCTCTCCAGATCGTCAGACAATCGTGGAAACGGACGCAAGTGATTTTGCTATCGCCGCAATTCTATCCCAGGTTATTGATGGAAAGACTCACCCTGTTGCCTTTTATTCTCGAAAGCTTAACCCAGCGGAACTCAACTACGACGTCTGGGATAAGGAAATGCTACGGATTGTGTCAGCCTTGAAGCAATGGCGGCACTACCTCGAAGGACCTAGCCGAACGGTCCTTGTCTATACGGATCATAATAACTTAGAGTACTTCTCTACAACGAAGGTTCTTAACCGACGACAGGCAAGGTGGGCTGAGTCTTTGGCGGAATTTGACTTCAAGATCATTTACCGCCCGGGAACCAAAAATGGGAAGGCAGATGCACTATCGCGACGGCCGGAGTACCGTCCTGAAGGGGGAGGCACGCTTGGAAAACAGCCGATAGACAGGTTCTTTAAGCCCGGGCAGTTGGCGGAGGAAGAGTTTGTGGTATCAGCGGTGTCGCTTGCCTCCAAGGGGGTGATTGACTGGTCTAAGAATTTTCTGGATCATGTCAGGCAGGCGGCATCGGGAGACCCGACATGGGTAGGAATGAGAGAGAGAGTTGAGCAAGGGGAGAAGCTGGGGGAACTGAAGGATATTGCTGAGAAAGACGGGCTACTTATCACGGGGACTATAGGCGATAGACTGTGGTGCCAAGGAACACAACCTAGGTAGTGACGTAGACGTGGACATAGACGTAAAGGTATACTTTGAGTATGGACTATGGGATGGCTCTACCTGGTATCATAAACCGGTTGGAGCCCTATGATGTAGTGCGGACAAAGAATAGTATTCGTGGAATAAATACAGAAGAAGAAGAAGAAACTTATATTGCTTTGAAGTACAAGACTTATCGCATGCCGAACCAACCGCCTAAAACAAAACCGAACCGAACAAAACGAAAGAGAAAACACCGAACAAGAATAAACCAAGAACAAAGCAAAACAAAACGAACACGAACAAAGACAAGGAAATCCAAGAGCAATACGCAACCAGAAAAACCCAATAACAAGGAGAATTAACATATCTCAGCGGACTTGAGCGCTGGATCCATCAAAAAGAACAAGAAATAAACAAAAATAAAAGGTAAAAGGAAACTACCCTTCCTAGTCCCGCCTCTAATCATTTTCTTCCATCCCCTCTTCCAGGTCCGCCTCCGCCTCCACCGGCTCGTACCATTTCGAGAGTTGAGATTTCTTTGCAAATTGTAGGATGAGGTCCGTATTCAGGTTTGTGAACATCCAGTTTTCCCAGGTCATCGCTCCGGGGATTTTCTCTATCAGAGGGGCGCGGATTCGAGCCCACGCTGGGCATTCCATAAGTGCGTGTTTCGCTGAGTTTTCCATACCACACTGGCATGGTTCGGGGTCTGTATGCACTGCATGTTTGTCGATTCGGGTGGTTTGACATCGAATTCGAAATACCTTTTTTGCTTCTGTAAGGGTAAGTTTCGCAATTTTGGGAGGGGGGCGGAATTCCCCCCGGTGGTGGTAGTTAGGTATTGGTTGTGTATTCCATTCTTCTAACAGGTGGTCGGGTAGTAGTTTGTTTTGGTTCCACTTATCTCTCATATTTCCGGGAGTTTGGTATGGGAGTAAGAGTGTAGCGGAGCCATTTCAACTGTCTGGTGTATGAGTACACACAGGGCCCGGTTACATGCTGAGAGTTATTGTTAGAAGCCAGTCGCACAATGATATGCAAGTACCGGCAGTGTGGTTAGCTACCGGCTGTTAGAGTAACTACATTCCGGGCGCTAGGAAGGGGATCTATTCATGGGAGCAATGACTGACGAGTCTATGCCTCGCCAGTGTCTAGAAGACCGGCCAGAGTGAAGCTCTGATTGTCCGGTGATCCACTGTATCCTCTGAGCATTGTAAGTCCGCCGAAGGGCAGGGACTATGCTAGGGAAGTCTACAATAAGCGAAAGCTCTACAGCAATGATTAAGCTTACACCTGAGCGGCAGCTCATTTCTGCAGGTCCTCGGTTGTGTGGCAACCAAGGCTGCAGGTGTTACAAAGGCTTTGACTAAGGGTGGTTGCCTTGAGGTATCGGAAACACCTGCTGACGCTTAGAGAAAAGCGGGGTAGCGGTGGTATTGTTTCCGGTACTGAGGGGAGGCCCACCAGAACTTAGTAAGGAGTTAGGAGCAGAGAATAGAGACCTTCGGAGTATAAGTACTCAGGTTCATTCTCGCCCTTCAGTCCTATTCTCTCCAGTCTTCATCAGAAAGAAAACCAAGTTCTTATCGGTAGCAGAGCCCTTAAAGATTATTGAGTTCTAGCGATAGTATCTTTGAATAATCTGCAACCTGATTGTCTATCTTGCACGGCCGTCTCTATTCTATGCAAATCTATTTCTCTTAGAAAGGACCCCCGTTACAAACAGGGAGGCAATTCGGTGCAGTCCTGTCCCTTTGATATTCGTTTCTCCGTGTGGGAGGAGCTCGATCAGGGATTCATTGTTGGGGTGGGTTGCCTCGGTGCAGAGTATTCTGGTTCCATACTTTCTTGAGCGATATGTCAGGAGGTGTTCTAGGGGGGGTAGGCCTGCTTCTCGGAGGAGTTTAGTTTTCTTGGTCCATCGTGGTAGGCCTGTAATGACCCGGGCGGCTTCGTTGTATAGTGGTTCAAGGGATCTTATAATGTGGTCTGCGCCAGTCCACCAAGCCTCAGATCCGTAAAGCAGACTTGGAAGGAAGCCTTGCGTTACTAGGTGCTGGACTGTCTTAACAGTTATGCCCGGGAGGCGGGCAGTGTTTCGGATTTGGTGTAGGGCTTTCAGGCCTTTTGCGATCGCTGCTTCGATATGGGGCCAGAAGGAGAGGGTCGGATCTATCCAGACTCCTATATATTTCAGCCTCTCCTTGGGGTATGTAGTGGTGTTGTTGATTTTGACTGGAAGTCGTGGTTGTTCTATGGATGATGTGGTGGGGCAGAAGAAGATCAGGTCAGATTTATCCGGATCGTATTTAATTTGGAGTGGCTCGGCTTTTATTAGTCTTTCTCTCATACGTTCCTCCATTCTTTTGATTATGAAGCCTGGTGTTTTGGATATTTGCACCAGCGCATCATCATCGATATATGTGGTGTCCATCTCTTTCGGGCTGCTTGTTGGGTCCAGAATTACTCCGGCATAGATCATAAATAGTACCGGAGACATGGGGCTGCCTTGCGGTACTCCAGATTCGTAGGGCTGTGGTTCCTCTAGTTCATGGTTAAATTGGAATTGTAGTTTTCTGCCGGTGTAACGGGGGTCCTTTCTAAGAGGTATAGACTAAAGTAGAATAGAGACGGCCGTGCAAGATAGACAATCAGGTTGCAGATTATTCAAAGATACTATCGCTAGAACTCAATAATCTTTAAGGGCTCTGCTACCGATAAGAACTTGGTTTTTCTTTCTGATGAAGACTGGAGAGAATTCGGACTGAAGGGCGGGAATGAACCTGAGTACTTATACTCCGAAGGCCTCTGTTCTCTGCTCCTAACTCCTTTACTAAGTTCCGGTGGGCCTTCCCTCAGTACCGGAAACAATACCACCGCTACCCCGCTTTTCTCTAGGCGTTAGCAGGTGTTTCCGATACCCAAGGCAACCACCCTTAGTCAAAGCCTTTGTAACACCTGCAGTCTTGGTTGCCACACAACCGAGGACCTGCATGAATGAGCTGCCGCTCAGGTGTAAGCTTAATCATTGCTGTAAAGCTTTCGCTTATTGTAGACTTCCCTAGCATAGTCCCTGCCCTTCAGCGGACTTACAATGCTCGGAGGATATAGAGGATCACCGGGCAATCAGAGCTTCACTCTGGCCGGTCTTCTAGTCACTGGCGAGGCATAGACTCGTCAGTCATTGCTCCCATGAATAGATCCCCTTCCTAGCGCCCGGAATGTAGTTACTCTAACAGCTGGTAGCTAACCACACTGCCGGTACTTGCATATCACCGTGCAACTGGCTTCTAACAATAACTCTCAGCATGTAACCGGGCCCTGTGTGTACTCATACACCAGACAGTTGAAATGGCTCCGTTACACCACTCCCCTCTTCCAGGATCTTGGTCTCCGAGATCTATAACCATTCTATTACCATTCGTTCTATATGACAAGAAACTTCGTGATATGCAAGGAAAATGAAAACCCGAAAGGAAAATAGTCTACACCCCAACAATCCGCTTGTCTTTGGGTTTCTTAGGATACCTCATATGGAAATCCCGAAGGGCTTCTTCAGCACTCTTCTTGAGATGCTCCCAAGGTTCCCATGTAGCATCCTCGTTTTCATAACCTTCCCACAGCACTAGGTATTCCACTCGTCTTCTCTTCTTATTGACCCGGCTATCAGCTACCTCTCGGACAACCCAGTTCTGTTCTCCCTCAACCTCTTCGGGTTCCGGTGGGGGAACTCTTCTCTCAGGATCTACCGGTGCTCTGTAGGGTTCTAGGAGAGAGACATGAAAGACCGGGTGGATTCCCATCTGGGGGGGAAGAGAGAGCTTGTAGGCACGGGTACCAATAGCTTCTAAGACCTTAAAGGGTCCCATCTTCTTCTGATCCAGTTTTCCCAAAGGCCGCTTTGTTTGCACATTGCGTCGGTCCAACATAACTTCATCTCCGGGCTTGATTTCAGGTGGTGCCAGGGCATGAGCATCATACCACCGGGCCATCCTTAATCTAGCTTTACCCAAGCTGGCGTTCATAGCCTGCCAGATAGATTCCCATTGAGATATCATAACCTCGCTTGCTGGATTGTTCCATTCTACTCCTTCCCTTGGGGCCGGCCAGTTGGTCCTGGGTTCATATCCATAGTTGGCATAAAAAGCCGATACTTTGGTAGACTCAGAGACCGCCGAGTTATAAGCATACTCTGCCAAAGGCAAGAGTTCTGCCCAGTCATCCTGTTGATATGAACAATAACTCCGCAAGTAATGTTCCAGGGTCTGATTAACTCTTTCTGTTTGACCGTCCGTTTGGGGGTGGAAAGATGTGGACATCTTCAGCTTCACATTGAGGAGACTCATGAGAGATTGCCAAAAGTGAGAGATGAACCTGCTATCTCTGTCCGAGACTATGTCATCAGGTAAACCATGGAGTCTCCAAACTTCCTTTAAGAACAACTTAGCCAAATCTTCCGTTTTATTGAGGGTAGGAAGAGGGATGTAGTGTGCCATTTTCGAAAAGCGGTCCACTATTACCCAGATCTTTGTAAACCCACTAGATTCCGGTAATCCCACAATAAAGTCCATAGAGATGGAAGTCCATGGCCGATAGGGTATCTCCAACGGTTGGAGCATACCAAACTTCTTGTGTCTTGAGGTCTTATTCCTCTGGCAGCTGTCACAGCTCCGGACATATTCCTCAACATCCTTATCCATGTTGGGCCAAAAGAAGTTGTTTTTCACCCGCTCTAATGTCTTAAATTGGCCAAAATGACCAGCCACCTTAGAGTCATGGGTATCGGACAGTATTTCCATCTGAAGCTTCTTGTCTTTGGGGATGTACCATCTATTCTTGTAGAAGATGAGACCGTTCTTAACCGACAAGTTCTGATCCAAATTTGGTTTCCTTTCAACCAGGGAGCGGTGCAGTTCCTGCCAGAAACTATCCTCTTTAGCGGCCGCATATAGACGCTCCAAGAATGTGTTCTGCAATTGATTCACTCTGACAGCCGCTAGCTTTGCAGGATCCAAAACCAATTGACCTGGCCTAAAAAAGATCTGTGGCTCCGGCTGCAGAGTTTCACCTCCCTCTCCAAGGCGGTGATCCCAGCGCCTAGATAGCACATCAGTCTTGCCATTCTTTTCTCCCGGTCTGTAGACAACTTTAAAATTGTAGCCTGCGAGGTCTTCAGACCATCTAGCTTGCCGCCTAGTGAGAACCTTGGTAGAATTAAAGTACTCCAAGTTCTTGTGGTCTGTGAAAACCGTGATCTCTTGCTCACAAGATTTGAGCATGTGTTCCCATTCCCGGAAAGAGGCTACAATAGCTCCCATTTCCTTATCGTGAATGTCATAGTTGATCTCAGCAGGGGAGAACTTCTTAGAATAGAATGCCACCGGATGTAGCTTCCCATCATTCCCATACTGAGAGAGCACCGCTCCCTTGGCAAAATCACTGGCATCTGTCTCGACCACCGTTCTCCTACTAGGGTCAAAATGAAGGAGGATTGGAGCAGTTGTGAACAGCCTCTTGAGTTCTTCAAAGGCCTGCTCATGTACTGCCGTCCAATACCATTTCTTATCTTTTTGCAGGAGGTCAGTTAATGGCTTGCAAACCTTACTGAAGCCTTCAATGAAGCGGCGATAGAAGTTTGCAAATCCGAGGAATGCCTGTACTGCCTTGATATTCTCAGGGATTGGCCATTCCTTAACTGCCTCCACCTTGTCTTCTGACATAGACACTCCCTTTTCCGAGATGTGATAGCCTAGGTACTCTACTTCTCGGACATGGAAGGATGTCTTACTGATCGAGGCACAGAGCTTAGCTTCCCTTAGCTTCTGTAAGACCTTCTTGACCAGTAGCTCATGCTCTTTCTCAGTCTCTGAGTAGATGAGGATATCGTCGATATAGACAACCACTCCTTCATCCAGTAGTTCCTTCAGCACATCATTGATCATGGCTTGGAAAGCGGAGGGAGCATTGCAAAGACCAAACGGCATCACATTATACTGATACAGTCCATAGCGAGTTCTGAAAGCGGTTTTCCACTCATCACCTTCAGCTATCCTGATCAGATTGAAGCCGTTCTTCAGGTCTATCTTTGTGAAGATCTTGGCCTTGAACAACCTGTCTCTGAGCTCACTCATGATAGGCAGCGGGTACTTGTCTTTGACAGTGACCTTGTTCAATCCTCTGTAGTCCACACAAATCCGCAATGTCCCATCTTTCTTAGGAATAAACAGTATGGGCGCCGCAGCGGGGCTATTAGATCTAGAGATCTTTCCTGAAGACAATTCTTTGTCCAGGTACTCTCGGAGGGCCTTCAATTCTGGAGCGGAACATGGGTACAGCGGGCCAAATGGGGGAGCGGTCCCAGGCAAGAGTTTGATCTTTAAATCATTATGGGAATGCGGCGGCATTTCCTCAATCTTCTCTTGACTGAACACATCAGCCCAATCCCGGTATAGGTGGTGTATTTTCTCAGCAATATCACCTCCGTCCTCATCATGCCATACTGAACCAACTAGTTGATAGACTGTCTCTTCTTCTTCCAACATTTGGTATGGAGAGATCAGTTCAATCTTGGTGGCCGCTGGGAGACAATTCTGCTTACAGTAGTCACTCCTCCAGCTCATGGTGTTGAGTTCCCAATTAATGTCCGGGTTATGCTTCCTAGCCCAACTAATTGGCAGGTAACCGGTCATTCCTTCTTCCAGTGTGGCCACCTCCCATCGGAGTGTCTCTTTATGATCTCCCATAGTCATACGGACCGGGTGAGTGTAAGACTCGCCTCCTCCCATCATGACATCTCCTTGAGCATCAAACATTGTCAGAGGTTGATCCCGCCGCACTAAGGGAATTCCATGTTTCCTGACAAAACTCTGGTTGAGGATAGCTCCTGTACAACCGGTGTCAAACAGGAAAGACCCTTGGGCGCCTTCATCCTTTCCTTTGACCGTCCATGACAGTCCTGCCTTCAGTATAGGTCTTTTTCCATGTACTGGTAAGGAGGGAAGCCTCTGTTCCAACCTTCTTTGCTTAACAGCAGGTTCTGAACTTGTTTCTCTTTGTCTTTTCAACATAGCTAATAGCTTCGGGCACTACTAAGATCAGAGATCCTTTGGTTCTATTCCCAAGCGGTAATATAGCAGATGTATTGTGTAGTAGTCTTTTTAGCAGCGGTTTGGAAGTGTCTTGGTAGCAAATATAACTTTGGTAGAGCACTGACAGACCAGCTGTTTCGGGTCTTAAACCCATCCTCAGAGTGCTTGTAGCAATCAAATAGGCGGAAACACAATCATAATTTATTCAAAAGAAACATAGAAACCAAAACCCATATAAAAGAAAACTAGTAAACATAGACCCAAACAGACACTTTTCTACCAGATGATTTCATTGTCCGAGTCTTGCTCAGGCTGAAAAACAAAATCTTCTGTAACCTCCGGGAGTACAACAAGTGGATCTTCTGCTACTACAGCAGCCACTTTAGCCTTCTTCTGAGAGTTGGACTTGCCA